GGTCCTATTATCAAAGAAATAATAGGCTTAAGACGATTGACAAGGATTTTTGTAATTAGTTTATAAGTAGTGTTACACAGACTAATAGGTCTAAATTGATGAATTGACTGAGCCTGCCTTACTTTTGAAACAAGGCATATGTATGTCTGATTGAGTAAAGGAGGTATTACATTTGATTCAAAAATATCGTGGCAAAATTGCCTAACCTTACTACTAACACCAGGCCAGAATTTTTGATAAAAGAAAGGATGAAGTCCATCCGGACCCGATGCTTTATAAGGATCAAAACTAAACATGGCACGATCAATTTCAATGTCCTCAAGAGGTTTTTGTAGAATCTGATTATTCATATTACTAACTGAATTGAAATTTGAATTAAAAGTAATATTAGTAGACTGATTATGGTCAGTTGTAAAAAGATTTTTGTAATAAGAGAGTATGTGATCCTGAATAGCTTGGTGGTCATGAAACCAGTTCCCAACTGAATCTTTGAGAGAGGTTATTCTATTTCTCCTACGTCTTTGCAATGTAGACATATGGAAGAATTTCGTATCAGCATCCCCTTCATTAAGCCAAGTCACTCTTGACTTAAGCTTCCAAACGTCCTCCTCTAATCTAAGTATATTACTAAATTCATTATTTAATTGCACTTCTAAATTTTGAAGGAAATAACTAGTGGGGTAGTGTATGGAAGATTGAATTCCTGCAAGTCTAGCTAGTATTTTCCTCTTACGACTATAGATGTTTCCAAAAGTATTATGGTTCCAATCTATGAGGACTTTCTGAAAATTTGAAATAGAATCTAAACGTGGTGGCGTATTATGCCAGGTATTTTGAACTAATTGATGAAATTGTGGGTGTGATGCCCAAATAGTTTCAAACCTGAAAATTTTCTAGGTGACTGTTTCCTATTGTCTAAATTAAGTAATAACGGACAGTGATCAGAATAAGTATGGGGTAAATGTTGCACTGTAGCCTCAGGGTACAGATTGACCCATTCATAATTTGCCAAAAATCTGTCAAGTCTTTCTAGTATTGTATGCCCCTTTTTTCTTTTATTTGTCCAAGTAAATCGACTACCTTTAAAGCCTAAATCTATTAAATTACAATATTTAATACAATTAGAAAATCTATCTGCCCTACTGATATTAAAAGGAAGCCCTCCAAATTTTTCACTAGCATATAAAATATCATTAAAGTCTCCTCCTATTAGCCAAGGGTACTTAAAATTATCATGCAAATCCATTAGACTCTCCCAAAGTTCATTTCGTGATTGGCATAAATTTTTAGCATATATAGCAGATAATATCCATTTAGGTTTAGTGGGACCTACCTGGACGAGGCAATGGATTTTTTGCTCAGATACCCTCAGCTCCTCAACACCAATCGCAACCTCATTCCATAATACTACTAACCCTCCTTCATGTCCATTTGCAGACACTTGTGCCATGTTAGTGAACTCAAAATCCTGTCTGAGTCCTTCATGGTCTTGCATGTGTGTTTCAAGCAGTATTGCTAGGGCTGGCCTATAATTGTCTAGTAGGGATCTAAACTGCCTCCTGAACTCCAGATTACGGGAGCCCCTACAGTTCCAAACTATTATATTCATAATATTTGGCATTGTTTGTGTGACTGTTGGAGTAGGCATCAACGGGTTGACAAACGTTGATGACATCTGGTCCTGAGATTCCATCGCTGGTGGGAGTTGACGAAGAGCTGGAATTATCACCATCGAGTATTTTCCTGCCTCTCGATTTGTTGTGACACGGAAGTTCATGCTGCATGAGATCATCTCTGGAGGACATTTTAGGATGAATTTTTTTGCAAATTATTCCTTTAGATTGTAAAGATGTATCCCTTTTAACCATAAATACTTTGTCCTTGTCTCCCTTATTTCCGCTATTATTTCTGCTAACTCCTCCCTTGTTTGCACATCTAGTTCGTTGGGAGATGGAGGTGGAGGTGGAGGTGGTGATGGACTGCGTGGACTACCTGGTGGAGACTGTGTCTCGAAAGGACTCGTTGGACTGGCATATGGGGAGAGAGGATTGAAAGAGTTGAGATGCTGGAACCATGGCGCATAAATCTGCCCCATGTGATGTGGTGGATAAAATGGCAGTGGGTTTGTCGTTGCTGGAACTTGTATCTATGAGTACATGGGATAACTCCACTGCCGGGGGTTCGAACTTGAAGCCTGATGATCCAGTAAAAGAGGTGTTTGTGTGCTAGGTGCGATGGGTTTTGTACAAGAAGGACAATCTCCTGGTTGTTCAGTTCCATTGTAAACACAAGAGCATACCCCTGTAATACCATCTCTAACCAAGACTCTAGAGGAAGATCCATTGTGTTTGCTTGAGACGTGTATATCAGTGGAGTGTTGATGTGTGGAAGCTGAGGTCCCTACATATGCAGTCGAGGAAGATAAAAGAGTTGGTTGTTGTTCCAGTTCCTCAGGATAGCAGGGTTGTTGTTTTGTGGGAATGTTGGTCTCTGCATCTTCGTTTATTGGAGTAGAAGGTACAGCTTCAATAATCTCAAGAGTAGAGGGCTTTTGTTCTACAATGGAGTGAATTAAGGAGGATTTATTTAGCTGAGTAGGGATCTGATTTGTTTGTATTGAAAGAACCTTAGGGGTATCACATGAAAAGTCATTATTTGGTTTGTGTTGGAGTTGGGGTTGGCTACGATTATAGGCTACTGTAGCATGCAATTCACTGTTGCTGCTACGTACGTGGATTGCAGCTGAGTCCTCAAGGCCATGCACAGGAGACGATTTGTCCTCTAATGGTTGGTTATAGGTATTATGAAGTGGTTTGTTTGGCTCATCATGGGCTTTAGGTAGCTGTGTTAGCGTGTTTAGTGTACCTGGCATGACTTGATCATGAAAGCCTAGTAGTAATTGGTATAAATATGTCGTCGTCTTGACTACAGTGGAGACTTTCATCCGACAAGTCTAGTTGTAGTTCCATGCTCTGTTGCATAGAAGGAATTGTTGGGGGATGTTTGTTTGAAATTAAAGTTTGCAGAAAAGATGGTGTTGGAGTAGTTTGGTTTTTATCTTCTATTTGCATAGCTCCTATGTCTGGTGGTTCTTGAGATGCTAAGTCGTAATTGTTTGTTTCTGTGAAGTTTTTCATGGATGGTGTATAGTTATAGTAAATAGCAGAGAATGATTTTAGAGGTTGAAGGAAGTTTGTTTGAATGAGTTGTGTCTGGTTTTCTAGAGAGAGAAACTCTCACATCTTTTTTTTTTTTTTTTGGGTTCTCACCCGGTGTCCGGTACTCACATTGGGGTCCGACTAAATCCGAATTCGCGCCGGGAAGTTCCACATTGGGGGGTAAAGCGCTCCCTGACAAAGGCGACTCCATACTCAGGGACTCGAACTCGAGACCTCTGGTTAAGGATGAAGGAGTACTTACCACTCCACCACAACCCTTGTTGGTAACTCTCACATCTTTCTAACTTTACTACTCTTGATATCTTTACGGTTATCAAATTGTCTAGATTTTTCTCACCCTTTCAATCAAACGACAATCTAAAAGGAGTTGAAAGTGCTGAAAACCTAAACTTTTTTAAGGAATTACTCTCAAAATTAACGTAAAAGGAGTTAAAGCGGATGTAATCAATTTTATTATACGCTACAAAATACTTTGATTTTTTTTATTATTATATTTCTTTTACTAATTCGTTATATTACCTAGTTTAAGTATGGAAGAATATAATAAACAAAATCTGGTTGATTTGGAATTACTAAATATTAATGAACTTTTTACCTAAATAATCATAAAGTATTAATTGGTTAATTTTTTAAAAAATATTCTTAAACATAAAAGGAGTTCAAAATGCTCGAAAGTTTCCCAATGTGATTTTTTCATGTGTTATAACAAAAAAGAAAAGAAAAGACTCCTACATCTAAAAGGAGTTGAAAAAGCTAAAAAATTTAACCTAATTGTTTTAAAGAATTAACTGGTTAAAATTTATAACAAACAAAAGACTCCCAAAACATAAAATGAGTTCAAACGGATGTAATCATTTTTATTGAAATACTTTGCCTTTCTTAACCTAAATTTTAAAGAATTGATTGGTGAAAGTTATGACAAACAAAAGACTCCCAAAACGTAAAAGGAATTCAAACGGATGTAATTAATTTTATTGAAATACTTTACTATTAAGAAATTAAGCTCAAAGTGACAATATAAAACATAAAATAGACAATGTAAGTAGAGAGGAAGAGAGAGAACTTTTCTTCTTATTTCAAGTATATCAGCCATGAGCCAAAGTGCTCTTACAAAGGTTCATCCTCGAAAACAAAGAATGAACTTACATATTAAATAGATACATATCAATACAAGTGATTCATGTATGTGATGTAAGAATTAAATGGACAACCACTTTAGTTTAATGTATTTATAACATTTACAAAATACTTTGATTGCCTTTATTGTTATTTTTCTATTACGAATTTGTTTTATTATATATTTTAAATAAGGAAGAATTTAATAAACAAAATCTAGTTGATTTGGAATTAGTAAATATTAGAAAAATAATTGGAAAATTAGTCTCCTAAATATTAGAGACTCTTAAAACCTAAATAAAATAATGAAATGACTATTTTACTCATTGTGAACAATGACATTTCGCTATATATATATATATATATATATATATATATATATATATATATATATATATATATATATATATATATATATATATATGAATGCCAACAGTTGATATTATACTAATTTAAAAAAAATAGGTACATAGAATATCTATTTTTAAGAAGAGACTACGGGTTCACGTACCCCGTAATTATAACTATAAATCCGTCCCTGGTTTTGATTATATTCAGGTGATATACGTCCATAAATTTGGTCAAGTTTCTACTATCATATAAGTATTTTTTGTTTTGGTTTTTTTACCCTGTGTTCAATACTCGGGGTTACTTATCAAAATATATAATACCAAATAATTCAAAAGATGCGCAAAATAAATGAAGTGAAAAAGCAAAGCAAGTAGTTCGTCTCTTATCTGGTAGTACCAATACAACATTGCTAACTAATGAAAAATACCAAAACAAATTGGGAAATCATTCTTTACTTCAATCATATGAGGAGGGATCAATCCAGATGCAGTGTGTCGGTCGGTCCAATTTGTAACTACTTGGACTTGAGAAAGCTGCACTAAAGAGTAATATTTGCGAGTGGCCAAACAATAAAAAATACCCTTGCTGTTGTCATGAAACATTGAAAAAAATATTTTATTTCCTAACCCTGGCGCAACACAAGGTTTCAAGAATGAAGCTTCTTTTTTCACAAATAGTGTTCTGTTATCCAAACTTGTTATTTGTTCCCTCTCCAAGTTCTCATCGATCACGTTGTATCTCCAAACCTCTACTTTTCCTTCTTCGTGAGTTAGAAACACAACCAATATTCCTCCATTATCCACATCTTCAGCCGTGAAAACCTGTTCAATTGAGCTTCTTAATCGACGTGGTAAGGAATCCCAATAAAATTAAGGTGGGATATTCATCTTGTGAGTTACGCCATTGTAGAGTGGATTAAAGAATTCTATTTCACCTCTTTCTTCATATATAGTCATCAAACAAGGTGTATTGATACAAGAACCACATTTATGCAAAGGCAGAGGAGGAGGCCGAGGGGTCAATGTAGGCAAGCGCCAACTCCTACAAACAACAGAAAACATAATATAATCTCTACCAACAAGACGTGATGAGATTAATCCGAGTATATCAATTGGAGTATTAGACCAAAGGCTATCATCATCCATGTTCTTGATTTTTAAAAAAGAATAGAGGTTAAAAATTTGCTTAAATATTGTGAATATTAATCAGTTGTACCCAATCCAACTAGAATACGAATTTCCTTAATTAAAAGTTTTCACGAATTTTCTTTACTGTTTTTGAAGTTCATTACTTATTCTATTTGAACTTGGAAAAGAATTCCTTTCCTTATTGTATTTGAACTAGGAAAACACTAATTCTTTTAAGCTGATTATTATTCTTACAAGTTTTCACCAAAAGCATAATCGAGAAGGTAAGCTTTTTTAATTTGTGTCGTTTGTTTTCTTGTTCTTTCAGTAGTGGTATTTTGCGTTAATTTCCAGATGTATATTAGTTTTCTTAATTTTAGGTCATTATATTTCAAGATTTGCAGTTAATATCACTTGTTGTGCTGTGTACGTGATATAATTAGTTAGCAACTAGTAGATCGAAATTTTTGTCTATTTTTGGATGAAATAAAAATAAAACCATGATTTAATGCCAATATGGATATACAAAATTAAAAAATTACGAATTGAACACAGTTCTTAATTTGGGTCCTCTTCTTTCAAGAATAGATGCTTGAATTTTGTTCAACAAAAATTTACTCTTTCTTGAATCGAATGATATATTAATTAATCGACTAGCTTAAAGCACTTAATTAATTCTACCTTATTTTTTGTAATTAGTAGGTTATTTGCAATACATTAATAATCTTACTTTTTCTTTTGCAGAAAGAAAAAAAAAAAAAAAAAGTCATGAACAAATATGGCGAACCTCCTTTCTCTCCGCAACAACACCCTTGGCTTGTTATTTCCCATGGAGCTAACAAGCAAAAGCAAACATTTTTCAGCATCTCAGAAGATCGATATTACATGCGAACTATACCAGAACTTCGAAACAAAAAGATATGTGAATGTGCTCATGGGTGGCTAGTATTACTTGACTTCGATTCTGGAGATTGCCACATTTGGAATCCTATTTCAAACGACAAAATTCAACTCCCACCACTCCCAGATACAATGTCTATTGTCCGCACCACTCCATGAGCCTGGATGTTGCATTCTCTTCTTTGACCCCCCGTCTTCACTTTATTTTTGTAAGCCAGGGACGTATAATCAAGAATTCAACAAATATGATTTACAACAAATTAGTGGAAATAGCATACTGTGGTTCTGGACAATTTTCAGAGGAGAGTTTTATGGATCATCTTCTCAAACAGAAATTCTAACACTTTTTGATCTAGATCATGACTCAGGAATAGTAACAGCTACGCCAATGGTTAACCAACCCCCGGTTGATTTTAGAGAATTCTTAGACCTGCCACATCGTGCGTGTTACCTCATTCAATACGATAATGACGCGTTGTTATATGTTCACGTATTGTATCATGGATGGCAAATGGAGGAGATATACGGCTTTCTGGTGTTTTGATTTGATTTTAAAGAAAAAGCGTGGGTAAAGGTGAAAAGCATTGGCGAAACTGCAATTTTTCTAAATGGCTATCGGGGAACAATTTGCTCCACAAAAGGTACTAATCTCAAGAGAGAATCTATCTACTTCACTAAGCACGAAGATCGTCGTCTTTATGTATTCAATTTGGAAACACAGAGCCTATCAGTATCCCTCCCATGCCCACATGTTAGCAACAAAAAGTCTCAATTTTTCTGGTTAACACTTCCTCCCAAATGCAATTGATCAATTTGTTTGTCTTTTATTGTTTGAATATTGTATTCTTATATAGTCTTAACCAAATATCCATCGGATGATATCTATATGGTAGAGCATGGTGCATGTGAACCCATGCTCCCTTCCTTATATAATATACTAGCTTTCGCGTTGCGCCTGTAGGGGATTTATGTATTTCTGTGAGTTTGCATTTTAACTATTTTGATTCTTAATATCATAGTATAATCGACTTTCCTATTTTATAATTTCTTTCATAGTTAGCGCTATTCTTTTGGGGACATATTTATATATCTTGTGAGTTGTGTTTAACTTAAATATAAATTTGCTTACATGATAAATTTCAATTTACTTACCATATTACTCTCATAAATACCATATTTCTTTCACATTTTAGTACTAAAAATCAGGAGATGCTGCTAAAGCCCTTTTACGTTGTAGAAACTAAACCTTCTAGTGAATAACCGTCAAAGTCAGGCCTAAGGCTTGATAAAGTAGGCTATCATAAGACTAAAAAAATCTAAACAATGTGACATAAAAAGAAATTTCAGCACCATGATAGTCAACTTATTTGAGTAATCACTAAGGTGATTGGCACTTTTAAACTTGTTAACCTACTCCAAACCTTCACAACTATCTTTGCAGCAAGTTTTGTCAGTAAGGCTCTGCAACACTATGTTGCCAAATCCAATGATAAAGCAACCCATATATCATCACAGCCTATTATAAGCCTTCCCCAGTATTTGACGCTACTAAAAGAAGAAAGTAATCTCTCTTTTAGGAAGCTCCGAAGCTGGTACCAGCCAGCCCATCCTGTTCTAAACACCATTCCTCTTTCTTCTCTGATTCTGATTCACTCTTTAATTTGTTTTTCACTTTCTACAGTTGACTAATTCATTCAAAAGCATCAACCACTAACATTATCTACAGAGATGATGAGAAAACCAAGTATACCGCAAAGAGAATCTTTTTTTTTGTTGATTATACACAAGAGAACCTGTCCTAGTTAATAAACATTAACATGAGATAACAGACACTTGAAGCTCCTAAAAGCATGAATCTAGAGAGTCGTCTCTGTTTCTTCTTTTAAGATTTAGGTATTCAATCCGTAGTATCTTTGTATGTAGATTTCTGATTGAAAAGCTTGTAACTTTTGTCAAATTATTTATAATTTAGTACATTTTTGAAGTGGTGATAAGTTACATCTAATTTTTGTTGTTGATAAAAAGTTAAGCAAATAGTAGCAACACTGCAATAGAGATATACTTGAAGCAAATGGAATATGTTTCAAAGAATAATTTCTTTAACACTGGCACATAACAAATAACACACAATATATAATTTACTAATTTTGTAGAAGTAAATAATGTACCTTTTGACTTAGTGGATGATTGATGTGTATATTGCAGAATACCTATGGAAACAGAAAAGAGAAAAAAAATTAACTTGATTCAGTCATATCGTCAAACGCCTTGAGTGCACCAAAATTCTTCTACGTTCCATCGCTACTTTTGGAAAATAATCACACTCACGTGTGGAATATACAAAGAAATATGAAAAACTTGATAAGCAGAAAGATTCTAATATCAGTAATCTCGGAGAAAATAGAATCACAATTCTACTGCCAAGTTCATCCTCGAAGAACACATATACTCTCCAAACAATCAACACACACCAGAAACAACAGTCATCACAAACATGCATATTTTAATATTATAGAAGAGCTGGTATCATCTGCGAATTCTAAACACCAACTTAACATTGCATATTTTCCTCAAAAAATATTTACAGTTAAATTTTAAGAGAAACAGAGATGAATTGTAACCAAATGGAGAAACTTTAGACGAAAACCAAGTGAAGGCCAAGAAGTAGCACAATAGAAATGAAGAATGATGTAGGAAGAAGTAAATACCATTCAGCACTTTTTCGAGGGAGGAATTTTTATTTCCATCCCATGCTTATGCTTGTGGATATTCTTCAATTGCAAAAATAAATAGAATTGAAATAGCTGAGATCCAGTTCAATAAAATTTGAAATTATTACTTATTTAGCAGGATACATATTAGTACCAGTGTTACCAATTACTGGTTAAAGAAAGATAAAAGTAACAAAAAAGAGCAGTAAAACAAACTTTTGAACTATGTGAATACCTTAATGGATCCAAGATCTAGGTCAGAAATTCGGCGGATGATAACTTGGATCTCGTAAATTTGTGTTATGAGAACTCATAATATCAATAGATCTGGTAGCATCACATGTTAACAAAGGAAAATCTAGCAATAACACATAAATGAAAGATACCATCCTTAATCGGTTCCCCGAAGGCGCAAACTGAAACAATCTCGTCAGCTCTAACAGGTTCGGATTCAAAGCACCAAGTGCAACCAACATAGCCCAATGGATAATTCATTATATTTTGCTTGAAATGCCAAAATCAGCAAAATCGCAACATGGGAAGATGAAATAGAGAAGAGGCAGAAGAAGGCGATGAACAAATAGCAAGAAGTGGCCAATGATACGTGTCTACTCAGTTGCAGGGTTAAACCCAAGTTGCATGAAGTATTGAGAAAAGTCGAGAATGCCCTCAGATAAAATTAAAATGACACTTAAGCAGACATGTCGAAAAACTTGCTCTTCTATATAAAAAATACTAGGTAACGATGGCTCGTGCCAGCACGAGCCCAATATTGTAAAAGCCTAAATAGTTATTTCTATTTGGATTGCTTGAATGTATGATACAATGAAATTTTGTAAAAACAAAAAGAGAGTAATATCAAGCTAGATGAAGACAATATTGCATATATGCTGCTTCGTTTAGCTAGTAGAATTTGAGAACTCAGCATGACTTCAAGCGTCAATCTTCGTCGTTCAACCCAAATTAATAGAAACAGTGTTCTGAAGCACAATAAAAAAATGCATAAGGGGATAATAAGAAGAGAAGATTCCAGTTCATAATATTTTTAAGCATTTATCCTAACATCACCATTTTGGAAGAAAACTTATGTTCTATACTAATTTACTAATAGCGCCAAAGATTACATTTTACCATAAATTGCAAGAAAATACACTTAATTCTCTGAATTGAATTATAGAGCACAGTAACAGAAAGTTGACAAACCAGCTGAGAACACGAACTGGAAAATAGTGTACTTGCCTACCTTAGGAGAAGTATCATGTTGGAATCCCTATAAGAATGATTCCAAAGCAACCTAGGCGATTATCCTACCGCTTTCTCTGGTTTGCTAGGTTTTAAGGATACCAAAAAGACAAAACTCGATTTTACAATCAAATACATAGATACAACAATAAAATATGCAGAAGAAATCAAATCAAGCATTAGCGCATAAAATAAAAGGGGAAAAACAAAAATGGAACAAAGAGGATGAAAATAGGAATCGAACAAAAGAATAATTCCAAACAATATTGAATCGAAGGGGAATATGCGAAAGAAGATTGCGTTGGTACATTGGGAGTCGGTTAGATTGAAAGAAAATTAGATGAAACGAACCACAGGAAAAATATGAGTAAAAGCCACGTATACACTGATAATCTAAAATGCTTCTGAATATAAACACATAAGTAGCTAATACGTGAAACGACTAAAATGTCCTGAACTTAAATTGTAATTCCATTAAGCAGCCACGTCGAAACATTGGCTATATATATATATATATATACTCCCTCCGTTTCAATTTATGTGAACCTATTTCCTTTTTGGTCCGTGCCAAAAAGAATGACCCTTTCCTTATTTGGAAACAATTTACCTTTATGCAATGATTTATAGCCACACAAAATATACGTGCCTCATTTTACACCACAAGTTCAAAAGTCTTCTCTCTTTTCTTGAACTCCGTGCCTAGTCAAATGGGTTCACATAAATTGAAACGGAGGGAGTATATATCATCAAGAAATAATGGTCTAGCTCTCTAACTTGTTTCATATATTGATATCCCATAAAAGGAAGACATTGCTCGTTTGAAGTATTAGCACTCATAGAGGATGATGCATTAGCAGAGCTATTAATTAGTGAGCAGGCAGGACGTTGTCGGCCGCTTGTTTTAGATTTATTTGCTCGTGCTCATGCTAGGAGAGCCTCCTTTTTATCGCCTTGCATCATTCTATATAATTCGCGTCGCGCAGTCTTCTTGTCGGTATGTATTTTTTCGGAGTTTCCAATTTTATGATTTTTACTCGATATTTCATTCGTCTACTTCCTGAATGGAATATGTCACGTGCATATTTACATTACTGAATGTATTTTCAATATTGGCTAACATGTATGTATGCTTACATTTTTTAGAAGAACCCAGGTAAAAAGCGTACAATACCTATAAGTAATTGATGAGAGATTAGAAAATTTACCTTGTTCAACTGTATTTACCTTGTTCAACTGTTCAAGTGCTACTGCATAACAGAAGTAGAAAATAATCACAACGGATTGCAAGAGCTGCAATAACAAAGAGAATAAATTGTGTCATGCACAACAGAGGGAAAAAAGCAAAAAACAAATAGAGACCTCTTATTAAACTTTGGCTTTAGGCCCACTATATGCTTGAATTGCATCTGCCATAGACTTAAAAAAAAAATTGAAATAAAAACTATTCAGTTTTCTACAAGAAACATGCATTAAATTCATCAATGAGAAAGGGACCAATTTCTTTATACTCATTCTTAAACACTTCTCCAACAAACGTTTTAGATGAGGCTTCTATAAATGTTTCCTATTTTATATTTATATCTCTGCAAGATCTCTTTTGTTGTTTTGGATGAGGCTGATAGAATGCTTGATATGGGTTTAAACCTCAGATAAAGGTATACCTTCTATTTCAATTTTGTTTATCTTATCTTTTCAAGTGAGCATTATTTTTCATTTTACCTGTTAAGTATATTGCTGTTTTCTGATTTCTTTACATACATCTGTCAATCAATTTAGTAGCTGTTTTGCTACTATAAACTACATAACAGTGGTTAATAATCCATTTATATTATTTTATTTAGCTGGTATCTTTTTGTAAAATTGGAAAACCTCTCATGTCATTTGACTCCTGATTACCATTTGTTAATTGGCTATTGTAGTTTGTTATAAAGATCAATTTGACATCAAGCTGGATTGTTTGGTCAGTGATTCTAGATTTATGAAGATATGCAATGGGAATAAGCTTTCCAGCTTCCAAGAACATGTGACACTTTGATACAGAGGCATCGCCTATAGATTTAATAGGGTAAAATTTCTCAAGTTGGTCACTTTAATACAGAGGCGCCGCCTACAGATTTAATAAGGTGAAAATTTTCAAGTTGTCTTCTCCTTAACCCATGAAGGTAACAATTTTAGCCTAAAGCACAGACTAACCTTGCTATTTCATCTGATTATTGCACCCCTCAATTAATAAACTCAGTGACAACTTCCATATATTACTCCGTCGTAGGTGATGTGAAATCCTCCAAAAAAGCATCAAACACTGCTCTTCAGTGCCACCATGCCGACAGAAATTGAAGCATTCGCACATGTTAGGTTTCTATTTGCTTCTTCCTTGTATTAGTAAAGAAACTGAATTTGTTTTCTTGATTTCAATTCATCTCCGCAAAAAAAAAAAAAAAAAAAAAATATCCCAATTTAATACAAATTAACTTAATTTTTATGCATCACAAGTTGCAAATATTCATTAGTAGAGTTTGACACCAGGGCATTAGCTATTAAATTGAGAAGTATGGAATGACCCCAACAAAGACATGGAAAGGGGAAAAAATGAGTAAAAAGGAGAAAAAGATTGGGAAGAGCTTGAAAGAAAACCATACCTGAGATTTAAACACCCAACGGGGAACAAGATTAAGTGCAATAAAAGGTCTTTATTCCAAGACTGAAGAAACTGAAGAAGTATTAGTTGAAGGTGAAGAAAGAAATAGGCCATTGCTGTCATTACACACACACACATATGAAAATTAAAACATGTATTGCAAAATATATCGACTGAAAACAGTTTTGAACGTATTTAATTGTTGGTTCTAAGGCTCAAATATCATTCAGTCAATTAGTGGAACATATGATATGCAATTTCAGGGAAATATATGAAAGTGCGATATGAATTAGCAATCCCAAAACAATTAGGGCAAAGTAATTACAACAATCCTTCATCAATTTCACACAACCATCAAAATAGCGCAAAATAAGAAGAAAAACAAAAGATATCTATCAAAATCTCATCACCATATAAAGGAAATAGAACAAAGCCCAAAACACAAAGAAGGAAACTGCAAAAACCAACACATATCATCAAAATCCCATCACCAAGAAAACTCCGACGAATTCACATATATGCTAATGGCCAGAGAGAAGAAGAAACTTAAGGAAAAGCTGGAATAGGGCAATAATCGAGCAGAAACACTTAAGACCAAACTCAAATTTCAACTCAAAAAGGGATCATCACCTGGTTTTTACCCTTTCTCTGTGCTACGCCTTGATTGTGGTAAATTGTTGTTGTACTGCTTTTTCTCAGTGCATGTCTAGAAAATTGCAGATTGGTAGAAAGAGAGAGAAAAGGGAGTTAAGATGTTAAAAGAGAAGATCACGCCTGGAGTCATATAACAATATGCGTGGCTAAGAAAGAATGGAAGGAAGATGCGTTGGCTGCAGAAACAAAAGCCACATTATCTAGTAGATTAAATGACTAAATTGCCCTCAACACCTGTCGAAACCACTAGCTCTTCTAATATAACTAGGCGAGAATTCCGTGCCAGCACGAGCCCAATATTTGCTGGTGTTATGAGAATATAATTGAATACAAACAGCAAGGTCATCTTGTTTAAGACTTGAATAGATTCAACTTCCGCTGATTTAAGAGTTGAATAACTACCGCATACCATCTACATACACTTGGAACAAAAAGTTGTACATGCAACTAACATACATATTTTATTTACATATCAAAAGAAGCCGATACACACAAAATATGATGCATTAATGCAACCAACATGCTGCTGGCAAGCACTATTTTTGTTATGTCTGACAAAAAGTCATACCTGTAAAAACTATAGTTAGCATCTGGTTCTTTTAAAATAGGAAAAATGTGTATATTAAAATAGTAGAGAAAGAGCAGTAGCAACAGAGTTGCACTGATTGGTTGTAATTGACATACCCTTGTAGCGCATTGTCTGTCGTATACATCCTTATTTACCTTCAGGATAGCTTTCAGAAAAGGCAGCAGCTCCAAATTTAGCATGCTTCAAAAAGTTCCTTCCTAGAAAAGAATTGTATGAATACACCTCATAACTGCATATGAATAGGAATTAGCTGCTAGAGTGGTTCGATAAACTTTTGAAAGATAACAACTTTAATTTTTAAATTATGTACTACTGCTAGATGGTAGGTATTCTCTTTCTTGAAACTCTGGAGTCATTTAGCAATCTTATGACAAAAGATGAGCTATATGCACCCAATTAACTTTTGATCCACTCAAAGGTCAGAAACCATGAGACGCAACAAATATTCTCTAAGATTGCAAAAGATTAAAACTATGTTCAGTTCTTCTTGGAACCTTTCAAGCATAAGTCACTTCCAAAGATCCAAGTGTTATTTGCTCACAATAGGACAATCCTAAATCGTCTCCGACTTAGTGAAAACAGTAGGGAAAAGCCAAACAAATCAGGCAAACATACATTTTCATTCCAGAAATGCAATATTCACCAGTATATGCATATACAAATTCCTCATCAAGAAGAAACATAGAGCTTAACTAAGTATTGTGCTCGAGATATTTTAAAACCGAAAAGTATGACAGCAAAAGCATGAGACTTCATGAAAGGATTTAGATTTCGTAGTTTCTATGAACTCAGCAACTTGAGAAACCTCATCCACAATCTAAGAATGGTGTAAAATAAGAGCAAATGATTTAGCAACTTGCTTCACTATCGGACTCCGCCTAATAAATCATCTCTCCGTGATGACAGAAGAAGATAGATCTATGGTTTCATGGCAAGAGAAAACAATTATACTGAATATTCAGTCATTTGATCATACTACACATAAAAATGCAAGATAAGTATGGGGTGCGGGGTGCATACTGTTTCTGGTCTCAATTTGGACCAGGGAGACTGGTATTTAGACAATCTTTCTAACACCTCGTGAATTAAAAGTAGTCACCTCATGATGAATATGTGTGTTACACATAATGATAAAGAGAAAATTTTATTTAAAATAGGCCTGTGCAATTATTTCGATTGGTATTTTTCAGTTTCTTTTACATAATTTCCTTAAAGCAACATATCTTTGGTCTCCTCCATCTTCAATTCTTCCCTAATAAGAAAAAACAAATTAGATCCATTAGATAGCTAATATATAAATTATATAAGTCCAGCTAAATTTTGAGTAAGAATGCTGATAAGTATTACAAATCAGCAAGTGTAGTTGAAGAATCAACCATTAATCTTCCTTTTAGTCTTAAACCTTGAACTTTCAAAACAACATCGAATATTACAAGATCACACTCCAATCCAACAACGACCTCGGAAATCATATAGATGATCCAAACTTCCGTGACAATTTGACTTACGCCACTGTATGCTGTACGAATGTGGATCATCCAAAACTTGGAGAGAACATGTTGCCCATACATCGATCAGATTTGCAGCAAGACTGAAGATAGGAAAATGATGCGATGGCTGAGAAAGAAACCAAAAAGCTACACGTAGTATTTGTGGAAGGGAAAAAAGGCCAGGTATAGAGCTATGCTAAATGACTGAATTATCCTCAAACTTTTTAAAAAGACAACAAGCAGAAATCTGTTGCATAGATGAAGTATAAAGCTAGATTATAGAGAATGGAAGAAAAATCAACTGTACACCAAATCATATTACCTCCATAGATATTTTCTGAATATGTCATTAAGCTGATAAATAGTGTCTTGTTTCCCATCTAAAAATTCTAGAGCAAAAATGCAGAATAAATGCACCAAGCTTAGCAGGTTTAGGTTTCTTTTCTTTGAATGTGGTTCTTAAAATGCCTTACATCTTTGCAGTTCTAATCTCCGGGTCGCCAAAATGTATATTAACAGAATAATATGGTTACTCTATTAGATTCCAAAACTGCATCATTTGCAGTGCAAAGCTGTTTGTTCAATAATCTTAACACGCGAACAATCATCATCTAAAACATTTGACACGATACTTGTCAACTATATGTTGCGATGCTCTGCTTCGAGTTTGTCATCTTAACTTATTTTTGTATCTCATGTACCGATTCACGTCTATAAGCCTTCCTAAATAGTGAGCTCATGGAAACACATCTCCCTTCGAAGTTTGAACAAACTACCAAGTAAAGCATATCACAGGTAGACTAATTACTATAAAGACGTATATTGGAAGCTAAAGTGCTTCAGCATCTGCCGTTTTATGCTTTAGAGCAAGTATCCAATGCCATCAAATATAACCATTCCAAGAAAGCATAAGATGCTACAATTGAAAATGCTAGAGTTTGCTCCATCATCTGCACACTGTTTCCCCTTCATATGTTTTTTAATGTACAAGGGTCGTTTGGTAAGATGCATTAGAAAAAATAATACATGTATTAGCTTTTGGTAGTATTTTTCAACTTATGGATAACTAATACTTGTATTAATTATACACCCTATTCAGTACTATTTTTATACATAGCAAACCATGACATTAGCAACACCATAACTTTTAATACATGGATAAGCACCTATAAAGAAAAACTGCCTTTTAAAATCTATAATACACCAAACCAAACAGTCGATAAGAAATAATTCCAACATTACTAATCCCAACATTACTAATACACCTATTCTTATACGCACTACCCAACGGCCCCTATAAGTACAAAGGACACCTACTGTTAGCCCCTTGACAATGGTCCTCGGCAGGTGTGGGTTGTGACAAGTATTTTCATGATGGACTTGGCACACAACCTGAAAATTGGGCAACATCATGACGGGCAGCTCGGCATGACGGACAATGCGGGGTTTGACAAACGCACCTTGAACGGAAGCAAGGCGCATTTCACTTGGGCGTGCGGGTTGGCGAAACAATGGCAAGGCAAAGCCATGTCAAGTAGGGGCAAAGACATGGCAAGGCAAGGCGATGCAATGAGGGACGAGCAATGACACTTGATGCGGGCAGATTTAATCAAGTGGAGGGCGACTTGACATAAGCGGGCAATTGTGGCAGTGAACGTGTGCGGCAAAGTCAGCGGGTGACGAGCAGTGGCCATGACATTGGCGCGGAGCAGTGTCAAGGACAAGGCTGGGCGCAATGCCAGCCTTGGGCACAAGGCAGCTGGTCGAAATTGGCACATACTGTGCACAAGCAGCAGTTGGAAAAACATGTGCAAAGCACATGGGAAGCAGTTGGCAATTGCAACCTCTTCCAAGACATGATGATCATTGCCTAAAACACGGGGCACGTTTTGTACATTGTCCTAACTTATTTGCCCATCAGTTGGGGCTTGTCAACTGATTGTAGGCTTATAACTACTTGCCTAGGCTGTCCAAAACGGGGCAGAACTTAGCTTTTGTGCATTTGTTAAGCCAAAATCGTCTAAGTCATTTCCTAAGGGTGGGAAAATCATTTTGGGCACGGAATTAGGGAATTCTTTGTCTTGGCCATAGGGTTGGCTATTGTGTTCTTGTATTCACATATTAATACGAGTTAGGAAGAAATTCTTGTATATCGTGTGCCTTTATTTACTGTTTTTGCTGCCTATTTCGTTCTAAGTTTCAAACGTCCCTAAAATAAAATTAAGTGTTGGAAAGGCTGAAGTCAAGGCTGGGCTTGACTGCCGCACGGAGGTGAACCTCGGGCAGGAATTCGAGTGACATAAATCACCCCTGTGACAACTGGTATCAGAGCGTGGCTGGATCGGGGCGAAGACACAACGTTCAATGGCTGAATTTTGTGAAGAATGGCTGGTGGCAATGCAGAACTGAAGGAAAAGGTTGTTGCATTAGAGGCACTCGTCGGAACCGTTGATGGGGATCAATTTCTGACTATTATGACTCGTCTTGTATATCTTGAGGGCGAGTTGAACAGGCTGAGCCATGAGTGCACAGATCTGAAAACGGAAAATGAGTTGCTGCATCGTGCTGTTGGCAATGATGAAGCACAGCGTGGGGCAGATCGTTCGAGGGTCAAAATTCCGGAGCCTAAAGAGTTTAATGGCGCAAGGAGTGCCAAGAAACTCGAAAACTTCCTGTGGGATATGGAGCAGTACTTCCATGCTGCCAAGTTGTAAGATGAAGACAAGGTCACCATTACGACTATGTACTTGGTGGACGATGCAAAGCTTTGGTGGCGGACGCGCGTGGCAGATGATGTAAGTGCTGGTAGGCCGAAGATTGACTCTTGGGAAGGGCTGAAGAAAGAGTTAAAGGATCAATTCTTTCCTAGCAATGCGGGCTGGATTGCTAGAGATCGTTTGAAGAAGTTAAAACAAATTGGAACGGTCAGGGAATATGTCAAAGAATTCAATTCTTTGATGCTGGATATAAGCAACATGTCTGAGGAGGACAAGCTGCATAACTTCCTTTACGGGTTGCAGTCGTGGGCGCAAATGGAACTACGAAGGCAGAATGTGAAAGACCTTCCTAGTGTCATCGCTGTTGCGGATGCGTTGGGTGATTTCTGGTTGGGACAAGATGGTTCTGATTTCTCTACTACTTCAAAGTCCAAAAATGGGAACAAGGACAAGGCAAAAGAGTGGAGGAAAAACGGAAACGACAAGGGCAATGCTGTTGAGGGCAATAGCAATGAGAAGGGAAAGCAATGTGCTGGACCTTCGACAAACAAGGGACAAAACAGCAAGTTTGATGGCTGTTTCATTTGCAAAGGACCACACATGGCGAGGGACTGTCCAAGAATTGAAAGGCTTTCAGCGTTGTTTGCTGAAGAAAAAAGTGAAGAGGAGCCAAACGAGGAAGAACATGAGCAAGCAACAGCATATTTAGGGCCTATGGTGGTGTTGAAAAATGCGGAAGCTACTTCGTCGAGGACGACGAATTCTTCTGGTGGGGGCGGTTTGTTAGCCCCTTGACAATGGTCCTCGGCAGGTGTGGGTTGTGACAAGTATTTTCATGATGGACTTGGCACACAACCTGAAAATTGGCCAACATCATGACGGGCAGCTCGGCATGACGTACAATGCGGGGTTTGACAAACGCACCTTGAACGGAAGCAAGGCGCGTTTCACTTGGGCGTGCGGGTTGGCGAAACAATGGCAAGGCAAAGCCATGTCAAGCAGGGGCAAAGACATGGCAAGGCAAGGCGAGGCAATGAGGGACAAGCAATGACACTTGATGCGGGCAGATTTAATCAAGTCGGAGGCGACTTGACATAAGCGGGCAATTGTGGCAGTGAACGTGTGCGGCAAAGTCAGTGGGTGACGAGCAGTGGCCATGACATTGGCGCGGAGCAGTGTCAAGGACAAGGTTGGGCGCAATGCCAGCCTTGGGCACAAGGCAGCTGGTCGAAATTGGCACATGCTGTGCACAAGCAGCAGTTGGAAAAACATGTGCAAAGCACATGGGAAGCACTTGGCAGTTGCAACCTCTTCCAAGACATGTTGATCATGGCCTAAAACATGGGGCACGTTTTGTACATTGTCCTAACTTGTTTGCCCATCAGTTGGGGCTTGTCAACTGATTGTAGGCTTATAAATACTTGCCTAGGCTGTCCAAAACGGGGCAGAACTTAGCTTTTGTGCATTTGTTAAGCCAAAATCGTCCAAGTCATTTCCTAAGGGTGGGAAAATCGTTTTGGGGCAGGAACTTAGGGAATTCTTTGTCTTGGCCATAGGGTTGGCTATTGTGTTCTTGTATTCACATATTAATACGAGTTGGGATGAAATTCCTGTATATCGTGTGCCTTTATTTACTGTTTTTGCTGCCTATTTCGTTCTAAGTTTCAAAAGTCCCTAAAATAAAACTAAGTGTTGGAAAGGCTGAAGTCAAGGATGGGCTTGACTGCCGCACGGAGGTGAACCTCGGGCAGGAATTCGAGTGACATAAATCACCCTGTGACACCTACCATCATGAAGCTACAGGGCAAGATAGGCTCTTTTAAGCGTTTAACAATTAAACACTGACCAAATGCAAAATTACAAGAAAACTTTTTTATGGATTAAAGGGCAGTCCAATTAGACTGTAATTAAGACTGCCTTTATAACAAAGTTAAAGTGGAGAAATTTTTGAAAACTTAAAAATAAAAATAAAAATCAGACCTTTGGTGATCAGAATAAGGAATGGTACGGAGAAAAGAGATTTCCTGGCGTCGCTTCTCTGCGCTCTCTCCTTTTTGCCCATTAATTCGTTCGGTTATTTGGGGTTCAGAGCTCTAGCTCATCTGCTCTTTCATTTGGCTCAGGACTCATTTCCAGATTTTGCTTTGGTTTCAGACTTTAGAGCAAACACGAGTATTTGTGTATGTAGAAAAATGCCACGTATAGAGATCACGTGAATAGACCTAAGTGCCCTCAAGTGTTGTTGAAATCATGCTAAGCACACATGTCGAAACTCTTTCTCTTCTATATAATAGATAATAGAAAAATAGATTTTATATAGATATTTTAAATTTTGCTGCAATTATAATTTTAAATTTAAAAGGTAAAATAATGATGAATATTTTCGTTTTGAATCTTTGTGTCTGCTGGACTATTAGTATATGTGACTTTTGCTAACTACTTCTCTCTCTATTTTATATTGTTAAATATTTTTTTGTTGTTGTTTGTTCTAGATATTTAATGTAATTTTAAAATATTATGCAAAACTTGATGAAGGCAAAAAATATTATTTTAGTAGGTTATGTTCAAAAATAAAAGGAATAGAATTATACAGAGTTAATTGTCAGCTTAAAATAGGTGATGCCAATTAGTGAACGTAGAACGTAGAACAAAATTACGCAATAAAAATTATTAGATTTTAAATAAATAAAATCATTCAAAATTCTGCTTGATTATATCAAATTTTGCATCAAAGCTATTTAAATTATATTTTAAAGTAGAGTGCCCTAAAAAGAGAGAGAGAGAGAGAGATGACCTTCTTCAACTCCAATTCATACTCCTTAAATCTCTGGAGTTTATTACCATGAACCTTTTAAGGGAAATTAAATGTCCAAATTTGGATATGAACTGATGATCATGAAATTAATGTTAAGAAAATAAACCGGGAAGATATTATAGTTATGTAACATATTTTGAATGAGGAATCACTAATAAAATTTTAATCAATAATAAGTCCTAAATATTAGGATTTCTTATATAATTCAAATAAGAAAAAGATTTACTAACAAAAATTTAAATTAATTTTAGGGACTTAAATATTAGGGAAGTAATTTAAATTATAATTTTGTCCGATATAAAATAAAATTTTAAAGGGTAAAAAAGGCGAACGACTGTAACACCCCATACATTCGGACTAGGTGTGAATATGTTAAATGGGTATTAGTTTGATGTTTTAAACATGAAGTCATAGAGGAATGAGTATGGGTGAAAATAGTTGTTTTGGAATCAAGACGGAGAGTGAGGTGTATAAGATTCGATAAAAGCTACTGAATTTATAAAAGGTCTGTCTTACAGCAGGATTTAGTGAAATTGTGTAAGGAATCTGGGAAAACTCAAAACAAGAAAGTTGTAGGCCTTTGAAATAGATTTCCAACGATACATTGTGAAGCCCGAACAGATCTCTGTAAAAAAGTTATGTGCGCTTTACATAGCAGTGCGCAATATGCGCGCCCAGAGGGTCACGTGCGCGACCGCGCACTTGTGGCAGCAATTTTGCGCATTCAGGTGCGCGGTCAGGCCTTCAGATGCACAGGGGGGTGCACTTGGGGGATCATTTTAAAGCCCTACTTCATCCCCCATACCCCAAAATACAAAAAACTCACTCTAGAAAGGGAAGCTCTCAAGAACCTAACTCCTTAAAGGTTCCTCCACCATCCAAGATAAGTACTAATGGTGATTCTAAGTTAATTTCAATTTTCCAACGTCTTATTTACATGGGTAACCCTCCATATCATTAGATATTCGATTGGCACATCATTGTTGAGAGAATGAACCCTAGAACTCGAATTCAAGGGGATTGAACGTCAAAAAGGTAATATCTTCACCATCTAATTCATTATAGATTTTGATTAATGATTATAGACTCTAAGTTCATGATATATGAGTTGATGAATTTGATAGAAAAGGGTGAACAGTTATATACTTGGGTTGTTGATTGTTAATTATTCATTAAGGATGTCGTTTATCATATGGGCGATAAAGAATGATATTGATTATAGCAATTTGAGGTTTTATGAATTTATCTAGGAGCAAGAGAATAATATTTTTTGTGAAGAAGCACCATTAATGAGGGCTATGAAGCTTTATACCCACCAAATGTTTGATAAAAGGTCCAAGTGACCAAAACATGAGAATTTGTTTTTTGCTAATATGGAATCTCTTTGACTTGTATTGATATAGATTAAAGTTGAAAGGTTGGCAAATGTTGTATTACGCCCAAGAGCAGGAAGTTAAGGTATGTGAGACTAACTCCCTATGTTTGGGAATGTTAATAATTCTCCCTACACTATGTTTCTTTTACCACGTTACTAATTGCCTCAGAAATATAGTTAAGCCTAGTTCCTTGAATAGTTGCAGAACTTCTATTCTCTAGCTTCGTAACTTATTCATGACTTTCATTCTAAACGTTGTGAAATCAATGCGTAATCAATATAGACTTGGTCTTGATTCCCACGAGTCTCAATCTAGATTACTCAGCATGTCATAAACAGTTGAAGTTTCAGTTTTTATAATCATTTCATGAATACATGTCTCAGTCTAGTTTTATGACATGCTACAGTCTAGAATCAACATCCTGATTTTTTAAATCCCTGAATATTGAACACCTTTATTTGGGCCTGAGACCGTAGTTTATATGCTTTATGCATATTTGGGTCTGAGGCCGTAGTTTATGCTTTATGCATCTTTAGGCATGAGACCGTAGTTATGTATACGTACACTTGGGTCTGAGTTTGTAGCTTGTGCACATATATATTGGGCCCGAGGTCGTAGTTTATTCAGATAAATAGGTTGTTCACCATTCGGAAGAGGGAGTATTCATATCCTTACTTCCTTTGTTCAGTTATCAGTTATCAGTTATTAGTTATTAATTATCATTTCAGTTTCAGTTTTAATAGTTCTCATTTCAGTTATCAATTATCAATTCTCAGTTATCAGCTTAGTTTCAGTTTCAGCATTTATAATTCTTTCTTTTAGTTGCTTTACATACCAGTGCAATTCAAATGTACAGATGTCCCTTTTGCCCAGAGCCTGCATCTCAAGATGCAGGTAATGATTTACAGGTTGACGATTCAGAGCGCTAGGATTCTCGTACCAGCTATTTGGTGATCCCCAGATATTTTTGGGGCATCATCATTACCTTACAGTCTTCAATATTTTCAGACAGTCGGTGTTTTCAGTACTTTATTAGAGGCTTCATAGACTAGAGCAACAGTTAGATAGAGTCACAGGCTTTTCATGTTAAGCAATGTTTGCTACAAATATACTTCATACTTATATTAGTGTTTCCACACATTAATTTATATCATTCAAACTTTTAGTGTATAAACATGTGTTAGTTTATCTTCCACTTTCAGTATGTTATGATATCATGTTGATTTAGCCAACCAGTTGGTTCGCTCGGTCACAGTAGTCATGCATCGGGTGCCGTGTTACGTTTAAGCCCAGGTTCGGGGCGTGATAAAGCTTGGTATCAGAGCCAATCTTGTGTCAGCCTTGCCGATGGTGGGTCAGAGTTCAACTGAGTTTAGGCAAATCCCGGTTATGGGGGCAAACCTCAGTGCTGAGTCTAGGCAAATCCCATACGGTGGGACAAACCTCAACGAGGACGCTGAGTCCTTAAGAGGGGGTGTATGTAACACCCCAGGCTTTAGATAGAATTCCACATCAGCAAAACACAAGAGAGATGCCGCGTATATAAGTTAACAAGCCTTAGACCCTAGTGATGCGTTTTAAACCCGTGAGTGCCTAGGCCCAGAGCGGACAATATCACTAGCGGGCTGAGCTGTAACACAAAAAGTATTCTCTTTTTTCTTAAACTTCGCCCCCAGTCAAATAGGTTCACATAAATTGAAACGAATAGAGTATTATTTGAAAAAAAAACTTTTATTTATTGAATAAATAACATTCTCTTAAATAACTTTTTAAAAATGCTCACTCGTATAGTTTTCTCTTATTATAATTCCCCATTTCAATATCACATCTTTAGTTCGAAGTTTCCCATGCAAGCTTAGCCATAAGGTGAAGACCTGTTTCGATCTGCTATATTTTGGCAGACTAGTTGCTTCCAATTTATTGTTGGAACACCTCCTTTCAGTCTTTTATAATCAACTGAAGTTTGGAATTTACACTTGTAGATCAGTGTAGAATGGTCACCTAGTTGTTGTTGGTGCTTCGTCACAGTCACGATCTTCCTAACCATCCAAGAAGCCTGCATAGGTATTTGCGTAGTGTCGATCGTAAATTAAAATGAAAGTATATATCACCAATATAAATATAAATAATTCATATACGTACAAGATACATATTCTCCATATTTATTTTTTGTTCAAACAGTCGATAAACAAAAAATAATATTTTTCGTTAGTTAGCAATGTTTATTGGTACGGGATAAGAGGCGAACTCCTTACTTTGCCTTTTTATTTCACTTAATTTACGCGATTATTTGTGATTTTTTATTTTTTTGAGTATACCAACCTAAATCTGCTCAGAAGTACGAATTAGTAAATTAAACTACTGAAATTTATTATTTTTAACATAGCAAGCAGGAAGGGATTTGACTCCTCTTCATTTCCTATTACCTTCATTTCCCCAAGTTCTTACTTGAATAGGAGACACATATACCGTTTTAAAATTAATGATCTAGATTTAATTAACTAAAACAAGACATTAACCATAGTTAAGTAATAAATATTTCATATATATTTTTCAGAAATTTTGATATTCCCTCCTACAAACTCCATTTCTGGCGCCAAAAGTTATCCCCAAAAGAATTTTACCAACATGGATGTCAATTACTTCTAAAAATTTAATGTCACGACACCAATTTCCCTCGGATATCGTGACGACACCTAGTCTCTAAGACTAGGTAAGCCTAACAACATGCGAAAATAACTGAATTAATAATTTAAAACCTCAAACTCAACAAACAACTAGAGCAATTTACAAGAAAAAGATAAGGCAAGTAGAACATGTGAAAATAAACTAATAATGACGAATATCACATGATAAAATAACTCAATTAATACATGGCAGGGATCTACACATTTAAAGCCAGAATTTTCTTACATTTAGCCCGTGCACACACTCGTCACCTCGTGTACACGGCTTTCACATA